CGGTTCAACCCGAGTTGTTAATCAAACAAGTTGTATTGATATAATATAACACTCGGTGAAATGCGTACGTTCGAGTTTTAATGGAACACACACAGCAGACGAGGACACCTGTTCTTAGTCATAGTTTTGTGTGCTTTCAACAAACATGAAACATGTTATTGTGTTTGTAGTTTTAAATTATTGTGATTTTGGCAGTTATTAAGTAATAACCGGAATGTCGTAAATTGTAATTGTGTATTGTATAATATAAACGTCGGACAGATATGTGACGTGTACATTTAGTTACTAATAAATTGATTATTTTGAAAACAAAAAAATTAACGAAATTAACGCCAAGAGTTCACCGCGATTCGACCAACGTTTTACATTGGTCCTTTTAGACCCAACATTCGGTAGTTTATTTACACAAAGGCCATAAACGGATTACAATATAACACTTTGATTGTCAACTGTCGAGTACTTTTTGTTTTGCTCTCGTGATGTGTTTTTTCAATGTCAAATTAGTTTATTATGTTACGCGTACAATCACAATAAGGTCAAAAGTCGGGTTCACGTTTAATGAATTCAAATGTCCATTGAGTAAATATTTCTAATCGAATCATTCACGATTGCGGTAGACGCATAATACTAATAATCTGACTTTTCATCAATAACAAAAACACAGCCATAATCGGTACAGATTAATATTACAGTCGGTTGCTACACTAATGCTAATCTGACAAAACACATCCTATGGTCATGATTTGTTGTACAATGTGTACGATTGTGCAAATAAAGGTATCAACCGAGAAGCATTTATTACAATATAACATAGTATGTTGTTCGGTCGTAATCTAAAGTATTAATTTAATTAACTAATTAGCGAGTTACATATTAGTCATAATTTTATAGTTTTACACGCACATAATATTATGTACTACCTCTTAATATTTCACACTGAAGCGGTTAATTGCTTTTTTTTTTTAGCAACAGTTTTTTTTTTTTTTTACTAAATAAAAATATCCAATCGACAATGTTAAATGTTGACTACTAGTTAGTAAAATCGTTAGATTTTTACAAATTAATTACAAAACATTTTTTGCCGACGATATCTGTCTATAAGTATTATCATAATAACATTTGTAATTTTTAATGGCAACTATAAGAGGTGTAACATAACTAAAAACGTCAACTACAGTTGATTTTACGATGGCATTCGGTATTTATGATAATTTCCCTTAACCCCCCCCCCCAAAAAAAAAAAATTTTAAGTTTTCAGTCGACAAAGATTTGACGAATTGACTTTTACAGCATAATGCATTGGCCAATGTCTAATTGGGTTTACAGATAATAAACCACGGTCGTGACTAAAAACTGCATAATAGATTCTAAGGCGTGATCCTATTAGTTGACATAATATTCAACTGATTATATATGCTCGTCAAACAGTGTATAAACGTTAATTTTTTTTACAAGAACTGCTACTGCGACCAAAAATAAAAAATTATATTATATGTTTTACAAAACCGCCGTTGTCTTTGAGCTGCAAAACATTTATCCGCGGGCTAAAGCTAAACTTAAAACCATACACGGTAAGCACGCGTATAATATCATTATGTATTTAGAAAATCCCAGTAAAAGCGTGTAAGCGCCTATGTTGAATATTATTATTATTATTTTTTTTTTATTTCAACGAGATTGGAGAAAATCTTTTTGGGAAATACAGTCCAGGACACGAACCTCTCGCGTAAAAGGATATCCTTTGTTGTTTTTTTTTTTATTTATTTAATAATTCAACGAAACCAATTCGATACCGACACAAACAATATAAGAGTATATAAATCTCAAAACAAACAAAACACCTTTGCACGAATTCGCCTGCGTACAGTTCGAGCATTCTTCGGTTTTCATCTGTTGAAAATGTGTTCAAATTTAAACGTCACAACATAACAAATAATTCATTGTGTTTATCTTTATTTATTTTTTTATCATTCTTATTCGCACATTTTTTTTCTTCAATTTTTATCTTAGAAAAAGGTTGTTTTTTTTTCTTTCAACCCGTGAAAACTGTTTGATATTAAAGCAATAATTACTTTTAAATAAACACCTAACTAATTGTCCTTCCGACTTCCTCATATCTTTATCAAAATCATTTATAAATATTTTTTTTTTAATAAACTTACTTATTGTAAATATTTTTGTATAGATTATTTTTTGTAAAGTAATAATAATAAACTAACTAGTCATACTAACATACAATTTTTTTTTTAGTCTTCCACTCAATTTGTCGAGAACCATTTTGATGATATTAATTCCATTTAAGTCAACATAAATAGTTAGATTAGGCTTAATTCCAGCATGTAAGTAAATGCTTGCTAGCTACAATGTGTGGGGCTGTCATTTTTAAGTAAAATACAAAGCAGTTATTGACAAGATGAGTAAAACGGCCAAACGCAGTATATAGAAACAAGCTTATAATTTATAATTTTTATATAGTTTAAATTGTAGGTATAAAATTTTACTCGCCTTTATTTTTTAATGTTTTTAAAATCATTATTTAATGATCAGTTGTATAATTGTTAATATTCAAAACTAATTGAAAACAAGTTTTTTACCTGTAAATATTTTTACTATTTTTTAACACAGTTCAAGGTAGTGTCATATAGGTTTCTATTTGATTTTTTTTTTATTAAACTAGATACCCAATTAAGTCGGCAGAACCGGCGTTTTCAGTTTGATACAATCGATGAAATTGTATACATAAATAAAGACGTTCAAATCATTTATGGCAGACTGCTGTCAAATTCGATACGCTTGGTATATAAACGACTTGTGTACCGCACTAATGTTAATTTAATTGATTAAATTATACACATTTAATACTGAAGGCATGCACACGTATACGTCTAGTAATATTTTTTTATGGCAAAATATAAAAATAATAGTAATAACGTTTTTTTATCATTAGCGAATTGCGCACACAATGTGTGACATCCACCATTTTTTTTACACGTCGCATGACTGAATGTCGTGCAAAGTATAATATTTTATAAATATATAATATATACATATATTCTAACGCTTAAGTACGATACAAAGTTAATTGTACAGTATTTAGTTTTTGATCAGATGATAAAATGTAAAAAACGAACGAAACGTTTCAATTATTGATTATATGATTTCTCGTGGATCATTGACCTTAGAAAAAAAAACAGTTAAGCCCATAGTACATAATATTATATTATTATAAATTAACACAGCACTCAAACCAAATATTAGTGTCTCAAATTATAATGTGATGCACAAAAACTCGATTAAAAAAAAAAAAAAGTATCTCTCCCGCATTATTTTGTAACGTAGTACCTATACATTTGTTATTGATAAATAAAATTCATTCCAAAATGTTCATGAAGAGCTCGACGTGGTAACCATATAAATCCATTCTGCTTTGAACTTAAAAAAAAATAACTTATCCCGACACACACAAAAGAAAAATAATAATAAATTTAATTCGTTTTATCATCGCTTTACTATTTTTATAAGAATGTACACTGTCTGTTCTTTGCCCGGAAAAATGTTAAATAATGAATTTTTCACACGTCATCGCTTTGAACTTTGAAGTGTTGATTATTTATACCGTATACGAATAAAAAAAGAAAGTAAGGCATTCGAAATGAACGTAAGGAAGGTCATACATATTATTCAAAAAAGATTAGGTACATCAAAATGAATTGCCATTTGTTGTAACGGAACGAGTGGATTTTTAATATTCAAATATTTTGTTTAAATAACTCATTTTGTAAGTATTGTAGATTTGTATAAGGCGTTATTAATTGTACATTTAACAAATCATTTCCATGTTTTTTTTTTTGGGTGGGGGAAACCCACATTTTTAAACTCAGGATTGTAAAATAAAAATATAAAATTGTTTGTACCTATAACTCTATAATGGATAATAATCTTACATAAAAAATAAACACGTAAAATATATTTAAAAAAACTATTTTTTAATTTTTTAAAAAAGTGTCCAGGTTAAACATTTTCCCTCTTAGTTTTTTAAATATCGTTCAGGTACTGTGTTGATTTATAGACTAGCTACGTGAAGATATTATCGGTTAAGCGTTTTAAGAGATGCCGCGGGACCAGATACAAAAAAAAAAACACAATATTGTAGAAAACAATATCTTCTTAGTTCCACATCAAAGGGAAAATAATTGGCCACAAAGACAACTTGAATACTATATTTCACAGTAAATTAGAGTTTTATTTTAAAGTTATGATTAATAAATAAGATTAATAAATCGAATAATATACTATAATTTTTTTTTCGGCGCGACGCGTCCACCCTGTCGCGAACCGGTCACCTCCGTCATGTCAGCCCAAGGCCGTGTCCGGTCACTGCTGGAGTATCGCAGATCGGCCGGTATCGGCGGCGCCTCGAGCAACGCCGCGCCGTCCGCCGGTTTCGCAAAAAGCCGCCGCCCGGTGAAACTGGTTCGCCGCCGCCGCCGCTGCCGCCACCGCGCGTACACACTGCGGCGCCGGTACACATGCGCCCATTCAGTACGGCGAACACACCGGTTGCGCGCGCTCACACGGTGTGTCCGATTGACGAGAACGCGGACGTCCGCGCGCAGACCCGTGAGAAAAATATGCAAAATTAGTTTTCTCGATATTATTAATTGTGTCGGCCTGAAGAAAACATAAATTCGGAACCGTTCATAGTAATAATATAGTGTCGGTGTTGTGTTGTGTATATTTTTCGAACGGGGTTCCGGTTGCTCGCGTATCGTGTTTGCGGTCGGTTTCGGCGTGCGCGGCCTGTTCGTTTGCGGAGAAAGTGCGAGGCGGTATAGTTTTTTTTTATCATTCTTTTTTTTTTTTTTAGTTGGTTTTTTTTATGCGTGCCAGCGGCGGCCGTCCGGCAACGGCGACGGCGGCGGCGGTGCCGGCCCATGCGGTGGCCCCGGCGTCTTACCCATGTGCCGCCGCGCGGTGTCGCCGTGCCGTCCGCAGAGACGTCCACCTCGGGCACGCATGAACTGCGGTACCCATGTCGACGGACGAGTGCCGGCGACGTAGGCGCACCGGTGCCGACGAACAGATGACGTTCCCGTCGGTGTGCCGCCTCGTGGAAAAGTACACGATGCTCATCGAACGGCACAGGCAACAACAGAACGGCCTGCACGTGACCGGTTCTCCGTCGGCCACCGGAACGGGCCGTCAGGCCAAGACCGTCCATGCGGTTGACACGGCACCGGCACCGGTGTCGGCGGCCGACGGCGGATCGTCGGATTACTCGTCCCTGCCCAAGTCCACGGCGCCGTCCAGCCCGGAGTTTAGCGACGACGGTGCCATGTGGAACCAGCTGTTGGATGACGAACCGCTGGACGACGCTGAACACTATCAGCGACAGCGACAACAACAACAGCGGGAGCGGGAGCAGCAGCAGCAGCAACAACAACAACAACAACAACAACAACAACAGTTGGAACAACAAAAAACAACAACAACAACAGCAGCAACAACAACTGCAGCGACACCAAAACGTCGATAACGACGAGCGACGGCAGCGGCTAAAGATGAGCTGCGAATCGCTGAGCTGCATCATACCCGGTATGTGGTCGATACCATAATCTCTGTTATCGTAATCATACTATAAGGATTTTCAACCTAAACGCTTTTGCCACCCCGAGTCTATCTACCAGATCTAGTAAACGTGAAAACATTACTCACGATTTAGGACAATTTTTTGGAATATAACACATTCCCAGATTAGCTCTGACCAGTTATGCATTGACGTCAAAACGATTTGTTTTCGGGGAAGGTTTTAAATACATTAGTATACATCCATCAGTAACGATAGTTTTTTTACCTCACGGACAACCGTAAGAAAACTCCGTAGACGTATAACCCTTCAACGCCTTCGACTTTCTTTTCACCGGGACAATTAGTGGTAAAAACAATTACCAGTGCTTTTTAACCACTTTTAAGAAAACGTTATCTCTTGGACGGCTTTAATAGAAAGAGAGAACAAACCAGAGTAAGAGAGATAAAGAAAAATAAGGATTTTCGTGGAACTCGAGCGTTCAAAATAAATGGGGTCGGCTTTTTTCCCGCGAAATTGCTCCCTTTGGATTGACACGGCATATGCGAGGGCTAAGGAAAGCGCCGTCCACGAGTTACCAGGGCAATTTTGAGTACGGATTCGCTCACGTTATTTAGTAGCTAATTTTCGGCTTTTGTGCAGCGTTTGAACGGGTCAAAGGCGACCGTCTTGTACGATTCCGACAATGCAAACCCATTCATTTTGGTCACAATATAATTTGTTAAGCGAGTAAAATAATTTTTTTAGAAAAACCCCGTTTACGGTCGTTATGGCGTATTTTGAACGGCGGCGGCGGTGACGATAATAATATGCCGTCGTCAATAGCAAACACATACTAAAAAAGATATACCTAAACACCAACGCTAATCCGTGTGCGCGTTACCATGCATGTGACGGCGATGATGGTGCTGACTAAACTGTCGTTATAAAACCAACCTATGGCCGTCGCATACAGAGCGTTTTGAATAGGCTTTCAATTGCTATACACGGAATCCATTATCTTCGTCAAAAGAACAATGCGCTCAGCGTTGTTGCTGGTAATAAGTACGACTCGACAAAAAACGAAACGGAATAAGAAAGAAGACGGAATTTAAATAAATATATATATATATTTTTTTTTTTTGCTCGCCAATACCGCAGCAGTACAATAACGACGAAGCATGTTCGTTTTGCCAGTCTCTTAAACAGAACGGTCTCTATTTTATACAAGATTTTAAAATCATCCAGTGTTTTTTTATTATTATTATTATTATGACATGCGATTTTAGCGTTAATGAACTAAACCCGGTCAACGTGTACAGCCTGAATGTACTCGTATTATATTTACATAAAAAAAAACTCTTTTCTGACGAGGTTTAAGTCGAATTCCACGTCAAAAGTGACACAGACACTACGTAAGTAGACATTATTTCGAGAGTAGAAATCCTTTTGACGAGCAATTTTTCGGATAATATTATTTTTCATATTTCTTATAATACATTTTTAAGATACGACGTATTAGTTGATCTACAGTAGCTAATCATATTTTAAACCAAGACGATCAAAATTCTAACCGTCACCACAAAACATAAAAAAAGACGTTTGAGATAAAAGCTAGACTAATTATTTCGACTCGAACTCACGGATCGGGAAAGCCAAGGTGGATGCCCTCGCGCGTGTGAGATAAGGTCAATGAAGTGATTTAGATTCACCAAAGTGATTTGCTTAAGTCGCAGCACGCGTCGGGCAATCGATTCGAACACACGAGATAACGTCTTATATTGTCCACGATCTAAGCGTATGTCTATAGAAACCGAAAGCGTTTAATTATTGTGTTTTCTACATTCTCTAGTAATGTTTTTTTTTAGTCTTTACCTTTATTAAGAAATATATTTTTTTTATTTACAATCTATACAATATGTATAATCAGTAAGTCTGATGACAAAGATACAGTGACAATATTCAATAATGTAGGAATAGGAAGGCTCTCAGCAGTGCCACCTGACCAGAAAAATAGTCTTTACCTATCGAATAAATGTTTTTTAAAATTTTTTTACCAATTTTTATTCCTCGTCCAGGGCAAAAATTAATAAATTCCAAAAACGTACCACGTTGAATCCGACGGGATACATACATACCGGACTTGGTGTGTACACCATACTCGCATACAAAACGTGTCAGTCTCTGCACACAATACATCAATATTTGTGACGGCCAGCGTGCCATCACGTGGGAGGAGAGAGGCGGCAAAAGAGGGGAGGTGCACAACACATGTGGGTTTGGTGACCGTGCGGGCTTTGTGGAAATTAGTTTTTCGGACATCGGCTGGAGGGTGGGGGGGAGCACACACATTAGGATAGGAACGTGTGTCGTTAGCGAAACGCTTTTCGAATTTTCTCATATTATTCAACAATATTGCAAATGTACGACGTCGATGTCGGCCGATACGGTTTTGCGACATTAGCAACGCGCAAAATACATTGCATATTTTGATTAATATTTTAACTAAGTTCTAAACTTGAAAAATCCCACGAAACCCGCGTGGAAGATCCTCATAACGTTATTCGAAGCGGACGTTACTCACCGACGTTTCTTTTCTTTTTTTTCTGAAAAAGAAAAATGTTTAACGAGCGCAATTATTTTTAATTTTGCTAACATAATTTATGACGACAAAAGTTTTTCTTTTAAAATATAATTTAAATTCATAATTAATTCTATTTTTTTTTTCTAACATAATTAAGTCGCTACGCTAACGGAAAAGTGTTGTGGTGATGTTTTTAAACAACACTGAATTATAATAATATCGTTGTATATCAGCTGTCAAACCTAATTGTGTTGAATTGTCAACGAACCGAGACGGAATAAACTAATGCGGACGATATTTGCTCATATTTTCCCGAGCGTCTTGAAAATATTTCTTAATTAACATTAAGGCGAGAGCAAAATATGTATATGCCACTCGTCTCGAGCTTACTTTAATTAGCGGCTCGGTGAAATTAGTAAAGGAGGTAATACGAATCTTGCAATTAATTTATATTATTTCACGGTGCCACTTTGCGTTTTCGGTGAGAATCTGTGGATTATATTTCACAGACATGAAATAAGACAACTGTACGTTTTTGGCAACAAGACCTATAATTTTGAAAGGAAATTGCATTCCCAGGACGGAAATTGCATAAGGTACTAGCAAATTTCAAGTCGCAGTGTATGATTATCTTTGGGCTTAATAATTATTGTTGTACTTTAATCAGACACACAATCAGTTATGTTATATAATGCAGTACAATTTAAACAAATTACTAATATGTTGAAACAAAAACATACTGATTGTATCGTTTAACGTGACAAGTAGATAGTAACATAGTGGATATTTGTTTTTTCCAACGTTATGATATCATATATTGAATATTATATTATTATGTTGACAATTCATGCAAATTGTTTCAGTCGTATTATTCGGTTGTCGTAACGGGAAAAAAGTAATTAAAATATTAACATACGATTTAATTAATGATATAACATTGATTACTATTGTAAATAAAATAGTAACCGGTTATATATATGTATGTATGATTTTAAATCGATAATATAAAATGTCATTTGAACAGCGCAACGTTATTTTCGCTAAAGCTCTGCGACTTGACTTATTGCTTGTAAATCAAAATAAAATCCATCACGTTAAGTAACATAATACGCTCATTTAACATTTAAAAAACCGGTTATTATCCAAAACCCGCGATGAACCTAACCTTTTGATGAAGTGTAGTCTGTGTAGGTATTAGATAAATTATTATAATCAAATGTACCTGCTACTGCCTACTGCCTACAGATATTTGTATGGTAAAAACTATAGTGCATACAAATAACTAGAAATTCGCCATCAGTAGTTTGTAGTCTGGTTTAAGAAGTTTACTCGTCATTCTGTTTCTGTTGCGAAGACTCGATTCCAAGCAGAAAAAATTGATCTTAATCTTCCTGGAGACTACACGGTCGCTTTATCAGAGCATTAGAAACTACTAAGGCGGCCTTTTACTTCGAAGGGGTTAATGGAATTTAGCATAATATGAAGTGTGTCGCATTATGGTAAACGCATACGAAAACATAACACCTTAGCGGTTCAAACTTTGTGATGTTTAGGCAGAAAGGGTTAAGTAGGGATAAGCCCACTTGGTCTTTTGTGCGTTTACCTTTGACTAGCTGTACCATGATTCAGCGTTAATTCATCAATAATAAATGATGGTTCAAACTACCTTTTTCAAAAGTCAGAGTTGGGCATTATTTAAAAACCACAAACCCAAAAAAAGGTCAAATTTTGTGTTATAGTCTAACAAGTATAATTATTATAATCGTTTTGTATTCATACTATGTTTTCACCTACGCTTATAGAAAGTAAAACACTACTATTATTATCATTATTGCCGTTTTATATTATGGTCTATAAAATAAAGTTGTAGCCTTTTTTTTTTTTGCCATTATATTTTTGCTACGTCGGGTCCAAATAAAACGGGCTTAAGTTTTATTGCCAAAATAGAACACATTTCTCGTCGTAACGTCGCCCATTACAAAAGAACCGTCCAATTTAAACCATCCGTTCTTTGATACGACTTCCTTTTGGTGCGATTCTAGTGTAACGTGCAGTGCACATAATAATATTATCGTTGAACGGAGCCGTCCTTGCTTAACCTTATACCGTCATACACACAACTGTATTATTTTTTTTTTTTTTGCACGAGGTCGCGCCGGGTCGACTAGATCATGGCGAAACTACATTAGGTAAAAAACAAAAGTCGCAATTTTGTACTTGGTCTGCGGTAAAGACAAACCCGTTGGGTATGCCTGTACGTTTACCGTAAAAATGTGATATTATTTGTCGCCACAGAATTATTTTGAAAATAATATTTTCTATGATTTGTATAATTATACACCTGCGACTGGGACTACAGAATACCTTTTGTTTTTGTTTTTTTATTTTTTACAGCCGTTGTTGGTTACCGTTATGGCTCGGCAATTGATTAATTATTATATTGAC